AGGCATGTCAATCCTCTTCACTAGTCAAAATATTCCTAATATCTAAGATTTCTTCTGAAACCAAATGACAATGTTTTGATCTAGGCAAACAGGCACGTCAATCCTTTTCACTAGTCAAAACATTCCTAATATCTAAGATTTCTTTTGAAACTAAATGACAATGTTTTGAATAAGTTCCTTTCAAACTCGACACTACAACGCTGAACATGTGCGTTGTCAAAAACGATTCACTTACAAGAGAATAACTCAATAAAAACTTCGGGAAAAAGTCAAACAAAGAATAGTGAACTGAAATTTAAGACGCATTGGGAAGTTGCTTAAAATATGAGCAAAAGTTTACTAATTCGCCCAACTTTTGCCAAGCGTTTGCGCAACTTAAAAATTTACGCAACTTGAGAATAAATTTCGTAAAATAATCAGTTTTCTTTAGGGCATTAAAATAACTAAAATTAGGCAAAATACAAAAGCAACAATAAAAGATTTCTCAACAGGATGAAACTTTATTATAAAAATAAGTAATCTTTGTTTTCTCACAAAAAAGTAGCAATCATAAAAATTGATTAAAAAATGTAACTCAGTACTCACTGCAGTGAGTGACAGAGAGCGCATTTTCTCGTCGACGAAAACGTGAAGTCACGGACGGACGGACAGACAGATCTAGACGGACGGACAGACGGACATGGCGAGCACAATAGATCATTTTTTCCATAAATGAGAAAATGCGCTAAAAATGGGATTATTTCATCCATTGATAACTTAACTCATGTATGAACAGGTACACACGCAGGTAAACATTGTATGGGTTCTCATAGCGGTCACAATGTTCCTCGAGTCCCAGAACTTGGACAAGCCGCTGTTCCCAGTTATCCGCGCCTTCTGGTTATGTTACGCAGTGAGTATTGTATCTCAAATTTTCTATTAGTATGGTCTATTGTACAGTAATTTAAATTCCACAAGTCATCGAAATTATTACTACTTTTATCTGAAATAGCGTCATTTTTACATGGGCATTTCAACTCTTCAACTACGCAAAAATTTATGGATCAAGACAAAACAAAAGATATGCACCTCTATTTAAAATTTTTATATTCAGTAAAAATGTGGAATGAATGTAATTCAAAACATCAACATGCTTTCAACACGGTTACAATATCGTTTGTAGTTCTAGATTAAACATAATGCAACGACGACAGAAAACTGAATCTTTATGCACATAACCTATTTATAATAGAACATTTTTTCCCAACCCATGCAGGGCGGGCTATTTGTACAGTTGGACTTTATCTTGTTCGATATGAACGGCGGAAGCTGGCCAACAGAGAACGGTTTCTACCTCCTCCTCGAGCTTATGACACTTACGTGGCACTTTGTTGGGGAACTTTTGGTCGTGGGCGTGGTGAGCTTCGTGGCGCTGGTGCTGGTCAAGAGGATGGAGCCAGCCCAAGTCAAGGCGCAGCTCGACATCAGCCTGGGCTGCAGCTCCGGTGGTCAATTTACTGACGAAAAATCAGGCGAAGTCCGGTACTGCCTGTTGAAAAATTGCGATGATGTTTGAATGTTATTGTTTCTTCATCTAACCAGTATATGTCTAGATATAACCCACTAGCTAGGCTTCCGACAATGAAATAACGTGGATTGAAAGTTGTTAATACGAAGTAAACGCCTTATCAGCGTTGTTTTACCGTAATTTGCCTGCACGGAAGATATTCATGCATAATATATAATATATCTACGGGTATGTGTTATATATGTTATATATGTTATATATATATATGCATATATATATTGCGTATGCATAATATAGGTACAGGTATGTGTTACACGTGCAATTAATGACCCGAGAGTTCATTGATTTAAATTTTCAGTGTCAAACAACATTCTTCAGATGACGTTGATTGATCATAATGCAGGTTTAAGGAAGTATCAAGATTCTTTGGATAGTTTGAAGTCTAAATTGACACGAGAATGGGACTTGATCCCTCAAGAAATGCTGCGTGCCTCCTGTGAAGCTTTCCCGCGTATGTTGGAGGCCGTCATTAAAAATAAGGGTGGTCATATTGAACAAATACGTTTAAGAATCGCTTAGGTGGTTCTTGGCTATTAGCCCATCCAATAAACAATTAATTCACCTGTTTGTTTCATTGAAAAATAAGAAAACATGTGTTACTGTAAATATAGCGGACCCTGCACATGTTTATTTTAGAAGATTGAAACATACTGTTGGCTAACAAGAGTACGTGAAAAGTTCAGAATTAGAAGGATGACATGACATTTATCCCTATTCTGAGCTTGATAATTATCATTATAGTCCTCATTCCGTGAAGTATCTAAGTTGTAATTATTCGTCTTTTAGAATTATTTATCCGTAATGTTTTTCAGGAAGTTTAATTGCATCTATGCTGGAGAATCTGCAGCCTCAAACTTAACATGAGCTGGGCCTGTTCGATCGCGTATATGTACTCACATTACCCATCGTGTCTGTTGTGTTTTTGTGGCTGCATTGCACTACAAAAAAGAGGATAATATAGGATTAAGTAATATATTTTTAAATAAAGCCAATTTATCCTTCGTTAAAATTATACAAAATTAAACCGTGTTCAAATGTAGTAGGGAGCATAATTCTTTTGTTTTAGTAAAATAAATAGGTACGGTAAATAATTCTTCAACGCGGTCAGGTTCCTTGAAGAAAATCTGCAACGCAATCATTACAGTACGAAAGCTTTTTTATGGAGAAATCTGGCGCAGCTTGCTGTGGACAGCGTCGGTGAATCGGTAAAAAATCACTAGTCGGCTTCAAGGGCACTCTGAAACTGTGTATTTTTTCAGAGCTACTTTGGTTCATTGTTCATAACCATTCATAACCATTGTTCATACATACATTGGTTCAGAGCAAGGATAATTCAACTTTTATGGCGCGTATAGCAAAACATTTAGAGTAAATATTTGCAAATTTGGTGAAAATATTCGAACATATGACGTAAATATCAGAATATTCATGATAAATATTAAAGTACTTGGCTAAATGTTTTTTTGATCATTTTGCGCAAATAGTTCATTTCCATAAAATTCACAATGAAGAGAAGTACACAAATAGAAATAGAAGTTATACAGAGAAGTACACACATTGTCAATTTGTTATGGATTACTGTCAATGCGAAAAATTTCAACATTGCGCAACTAAACCAGAAAAATCAGTACAGTTAGCGTTCAACTTGCCTTGACCTCAGAAAGAATCAAAGAATTAATAAAAAATATCCTAATTAATCACAGCATAACGTATTAAACAATCTTGAGTCACCTATACATCTTTAATGTGACGATGAGCGTCAGCCTTACAGTCATCGCACAATATCGTGAGCTCCCAGTTTTCTGTTCGTATGCAAAAGACGAGAATTTTTTGGGAGAGGAAAAATTAGTGAACCATGAAAATTGTATATAAACTTAAGTCGCATATTGTGATAGGATAATTAGGAGCAGGATAGGATAATATATAAGATATATGTAGGATAGCACTTGGATGGGATAAATAGGAGCAGGATACTTTGGAATAGAATTTTAAGGAACAGGATACTTAAGAGCAGGTTCCTCAGGAGCAGGATACTTTGGTATAGACGTTTAAGGAAAAGGATACTTATGAGCAGGTTCCTCAGGAGCAGGATACTTTGGAATAGACGTTTAAGGAAAAGGATACTTATGAGCAGGTTCCTCAGGAGTTGGATACTTAGTAATACAATGATTATAAATACGGTTCTTTGGAACAGGATACCTACATAAAACATTTATATTCGTTATAATTATAGCACAATATCTACAAAATATTCATCTATCATGGTATCACTCAATTTTTTAAGGTGGCTCCTGTAGAAGTAACCTTAAAAAGCTCCCGTTAGCCGTAGGCTCAGATTCGCTGTAGTCACAACAAGATAAAACAAGAGTCATCCGTTAAGTAGGAACCCCTAGTTAAGTAGGAGCCTCCTGTTCACGAAAAATCCCCTTATCGTACCATGAGAGCGTACTGACTGTAGAGCGTGCTGACATGATGGATATACTGTTAGAGCATGACGACATGATGGATGACAAATGAAGCATCTGTTGGAAGGCCCATGAATGCTGCGGTTGAAATAATTTTTCCCAAAAAAATCACAGAGTGCCGAATTTAATCATATAACCTTGCGCAACGTTATTTTTGGCGAACGATAACTAAAGCACTTCACCGCATCCTTTGTTCTGTAAATATCTTTTTACTGCACTTCCATTTGAAGCCGAAATGAAGCTACTCTCGTGCTCCTCTATCATAGCGAAGAAACAAATATGCGTCACGTGAGTGTTATTTACTTCAAAGAAAAATGTATTCATTGAATGTCCTATTGACATTGTACAATTCAATGCACGCCATACGATAAAAATTCAAGCTAACGCACACGTTTCCCACATGGTGGCTGCGTGCATCATGTTCCAGCTACAGTAAAATCGGCGTAAGTTTTAGTGTGGACAGAAGAGGCACAATGTCATGCGTATGTCATCATGCAACACCAACAAGCGAGGCATCAAAAGAGTGAATAAAATAAGGATAAATATGGGCCCTAAAGTAAGGAAAANTTAACTGCTTAATATATGGGTGGGTTCAGTCTTAGTTAATGGGATTTTTTTCATGGTTGTTGTCTACGCGGTAGTCGAGCCATAATTATATGGAGGTTCGTCGACTGAATATTCGTTCAGTGGATTTCTATGGATACTGCAGATTTCTTGAGAGTTGTGAGTAAAAATGAATATTAACTGGCGTGTTTTATACTCTACTTATGTTGCCTACTCTGCTTTAATGAAGTCCTCGTTAAATATTTAATTAAAGTTAAGGAGAAGACGAAAGAAGTCAATGGTGCATTTTACTTTACTGATATCGTCGTCTCTGCTATATAGCCTTCACTATATCTTAAATTCTACGAGTTTTTTAGAGTTATAAAGAGAAAAGTGAGTAGTCAATATACGTGTTGTACAAGGCATCGTTTACAAGTGTTTTAGTACTGTTTACTTTTATATGATCAATACAAATGTGTGAAGGCCTTTCAGAAAAGAAACGAAGCTACTAAAATATAACTTTCATCAAGGTTCATAAATCATATTAGATTTTTGATACAAATCAACAATTGTTTTTTTAACAATTACGCAGAAAAGTTTTTTCTTTCACACTATAATTAGTGTGTAGTAATCAAGATTAACGAGTGATGCTCATTGTGCCTCCATAGTTCAGTTTGCTGGTATTGTTAATGGGTGATCAGCACGGACGCTGAGGGCACATTTGTCCGGAAATTTCTCTGCTTATATGGAGCAATCTCCCTGACGACGTAGATTGCTGACGTGACCCTGATTGCTGTGTACACATTCTGTGTACCTTCCTCCCATCTCTGTGTAGGCGTCTCTGGTCAAGAGCTCTCGTCTTTTCTTATCCCTCACCTTAATTAGTCGTCGCATTCATGTTCTCGGGGGGATAATTTAAGATGTATATAATAATGATGGCACCAAAATATTTGCTTCCTAAACGCATATATGTAAATTATTCTAATAACATCACCAGCAGCTTCTGTGCTACACTAAACTTGAACGACGCGTAAACACATAGTAAGAATAATAAGTACGCTGTGAAACTTGCATTTCACATTATGGAAATATATGCATGGCGATCTTTTCTCTTACTGAGACACGGCAGAGCAGCCAGCTCGTTTGCCAGTTAAGAAACGTGCTTGCTAACTTCTGTTGTTTCTTCCGCCAATAATAAGTGTATTCTGCCATACGCCTAATTTTCCACGAACTAAGAAATAATTTGCCCGGTATTTTCTGTCGAGCCAGGTGTTTTCTGTTGGCCTTCATGTAATGTATATTTTCTACTGACATACAGGGAATAATATTACTTGAAGCAATGACAGGAAAAACTTACAACATCACATTATCCCAGCATGTACTTTGGTTTTTCAATTCTGTGCACTATTATGCCGCTAATGAAACCGCTGTCGAATTACACATAAATGATGCAGTTAACTTTATTTCCGATTTATTCCCTTAAAATATAATCGAATTCAATCATTAGATTATATTCAATCGAATTCAAAATACTCAAAGACATGGTCATACATTCAAAGCTTGAGTTAGGTCAAAACCAGTGTTCTCTACTACTCCCAATGGATATTATTTTAATATTATTCTCGTCTATATGGTAAGGAATATTACTTTGGCTAGTCCGGAACGGATGTTTTCCCTGCTCGGCCAAGCTTTGTTTTCTCAGCGATTCTGCTTACCAGCATTCGAGTCTGTTTCTTCAGTAATGGAAGCATGGCCTCAGAGATTATTATTATTATAGAACATTAATGCCTCACAAAAAGACCGATTTATTACATCCCTATTTCATCTAAGATTACATTTCATCATCCATCGTTCTTGACAAACGACATGATGAAGGAGAAACTTGTTCTGGTGACTAATGTTCTTCAGGAAATGATGCAAAAACTTTTCTTGAAAAACTTCCTTAAATGAATGTTTCTCAAAGAATTTTGCAACGAACTCATCTCAAAGAACATCCTTAAAACAATTTTCGAATAAAGATATAATGAACTCTTCCCAGAAATGTTCTTCAAGAAAATTTTGAACTCAGAAAAGTTCCCAGAAATATTTATCAAAGAATGATATCAGCAACAGCACCTATTCTTCATTACCCCATTGATTTTAGAATTTTTAATTAAATAAATAAAAATCTCATTAGT